TTATACTATTTATTAATTTTTTACTATTTTATAATATTATTGAAATTTTATAATTTTAATTTCTATAATTTTATCTTACTTTTTATTTTATAAATATAATTTGGATTATTCATTTTATAATTAAATTAATTTTTTTAAAATTTTTTATGAGTTTACATAGAAAAATGTATTGAAATCCCTCGATCTTTGAAGGTACCGTAACAACTCTCACTTTTTTATCTATAGATAAACACTATATGAGAATAAGTACGAGATAATACTTATTTCAATAAGTGCTAAATGAAAATTCTGTATCTTTGTCAAATAATATTTTCACTTGAAAATGTTATCTAAATATCATTATCTGATGACGTTTTTGACCTGGTGTTATATATATAATACTCTCTTTGTGAGGTATAGTCTATCCACATTTGAAGAAGGTGGGGATCAATCACATATGCCTATCATACCAAACAATCGTGTTTCTCTAATTCAAGTTGCATGTAATTTGAACTGAATTTGCTTAGTGACCAGGCATCTTTTTAAGTCATGAAAAAAAAAATCAATAATATGACGATGTCACACACCACCAGTACAGTGACCACAAGCTTTTATGAGGTGTCAAATATTAATAATTGTGAATATGAAACTAAGTTTCAATAGAACATATATAAATTAGAGTTGACAACCAATTAATTCTTTAATTACGTTATGTTACTATAAACAGATTTACTTTTCATTTTATAAATCATATCCTTCTAAATGTAATGGAGGAAAGGTTAAGGGTGAATCTTAAAAGAAAATAAAAATGAAGAATTCAAAAGCTTAAATGCAAAATAAAATTAAAATAATTAGTATATTTTCAAATTATTCTTCAAGATTATATAAGTCAAGCATTTCAATTTAAGAGATTTAAAAATATTTAGTGTGTTTAATAGAATTAAAATTTTCTATATTGATCATTGTGATTCTTAAGAAAGACTAAAATTTGTTTAATTTATCATAAATATTTTTAAAAATACTTATAGAAATATTTATATAGAAAATAAATGTAATATGATAATTTTGCCACACGATTTTTTTTTTTTTAACTCAAAAAAGTCAAATTCTCACATTCTACTTGAGAAATATTTTGTGGAAAATATGTGTAAAAAACATTATTGAAAAATAAAAAAATTCCTCTACACTATGTGTTCTCTTATTAATCCTTAATTTTATAAAATGTTATTTACTTTAGTCTTTTTAAACAAATGATAGTATAAAATAAAATTAAAGGAAGGAAACAAAATTATTATTTTTTAATGTTAAGGATCAATGAAGGAATTCTAAAATTTCAAAGACTAAAATGTTTGATCTATACAATCTCAAAAACCAATTTAAGAATTTACATATAAAATAATCTGTCATTTAAAAAAGGGTAAAGCATATAATCATATAAAAAGACAAATTTTCCATTCTTACTCGCTGTGTTTGTTGTCGAGAAAATAATCTACACATTAATTATCGGAGTAAATAAATTTGACACGGTCATTAAATTATAAATCACTGTATTAAAGTAAAGAACAAGTTGATTTATTAATAAGTCATTAGTTTAATTGATACAGAATTTGATTATCTTAAATATGATATTGAGTTTAAATTTTGTGTATGAAGGAAACATGATTAAAATAAAAGATTTCACTTAAGATGATTAGTGAGATTTTTAATCAAAAATTAATTATCAGTAAAATTAATAGATACTTTATACTAAAAACATGATTAAAAGTAAGTTAATTGAAAAGATACACGCTTAATTCTTAACTAATTGATGTCCTGAATTAGAGTTTTGTATATATAAAGATCTCGATAGAAAATGAATCTCATTACATTATGAATGTTTTCTGACTTAAAGAGGATTCCCCTAAAAACTACCCAGAGTCTTAATTAATAAAAACATGTTAGGGTGACAATAGACACTCTTGGAAAGAAACAGCCAACTTGGCACACTATCCAGTGCTTAATCCTATTTTGATCTGAACGCGAACTTGCATGAATCATATAGTTTAATGAAAAACTAAAAGGCATAAAGTTCTCACATATAAAAAGTTTTACTTTTAGTCTTTGTGAAGAAAAAAGAAGAAGTTATTAATATATGGGGACCATTTCTTTTAGAAACAATATTATTTTTAATTACTTGTTTGTAAATGAAGGCTTCTTTATGGCATTGGTCGTAAGGGTTAAGCATCGCATAGAGTCGGACACAATAGAAGCCTACTCTTTCATGGAAGTAACTTTTAGAATAAAATTTAATACAAATATTAGGTACAGAAAAGGATGTTTCGTTGAAAAAGACTTGATTCAGTTTGACAATAATACGAAATCAGATATATGCTGTGAATTATGGACACCTTTTTTTCTCTTATTGTTAGGTATACTGAAGGAACTCATAAAAGTGGAGCATGTGCTTTAAGAAGAATTCGATAAAGAAGTATATTGTCAAACTAAAATAGCTAGTTATAAAAATATGTGACTATATTAATTTTAAGAAAATTATTAACATACAATAACTTTTTTTTTTTTATAAGAAATATTATAACAACAATAATAAAGATCAAATTAATTCTTTGTACATCTATTTCAAATTCACCATATTAATTTCTTTTTAAAATAATATGTTGAGAAGTTATAATTTTAGTTTTCCTTAAAATTCATTAATTAAAAGTGTATGAGTGTTACTGACATGGTCCTTTTAAAAGCACCAAGAAGATGAATCAGGACTCATTTATTTATTTTGGGACATATTCGAGGTGCATGCATGCACACCAAATAAGGGGAAGGGGTGTGTGATCTAGCGGAAGATTAACCTTCATCATTATCATCACATTTTATCCTTAAAATCAAATTTGTCCGAAATGAGAGATTTATTTTAAAAATTAAAATAAGAAGTTATAATCATTATTTGAAATTTTATTGTTAAAATTATAGTTATGCTCGTAAAGGTATATTGATATTATCACTTTATATATATATATAAATAAGATAAAAGATCTATTTACTAATTCATGTTTAACATTAAATTTTAACGATTTAGTTATAATTTTCAAAATTTTTAAAAATATTTGTAGAATTGACCAATGCATTAAAGATATTTAATTCAGTAATTAAATTTTTAAAATTTAATGCAGAACATGAATTATTGAGTGAAATAAGTCTTTCAAGATTACTCTTATAATAATGAACCCCATCTATCTCTATATAATTTGAACTAGTACGATATTGACTTTTTTTTTTTTTTGATTCAGAACTATTTAATATGACACCATCTTCCAATTTCAGAAAACTAAATTCACTGTTAATTTCAGAGAACTAGACTATACATTTTTGTTTGCTTTATCTAAAATCTTCAAACCCAGATGTTGGGTGTTAGTGGGCTTAGTACTAGTACTACTAGTATATACAGTAGTACCCAATTAATGCATGACCCAAAAAAGCAAATCCCGGCCCAGTTGTTTCAAGGGTAAAAAATCTCACATGTTGGGGAAGAGAAATGAACATTACATGCATGATTAACTACATGGGTTTAACATTTTTTTGATGCTATATGGGTTTAATATTAATGCCATTTAAAAGTAAAAAAGTTATACTTCGATCATCATTAAATTACGTGTTGTGAAATCATTAAAGTTTGTTCGATAATCACAACAATTATCTAAGGAATTATAACTGCTTTAACGACCTAATAATAAGGAATTATTTGAACATAATACAAGAATTTTGTACACATAAACTCAACTATGTTGTTATAATTTGATACGTGATTCCAAAGGAGGTCCATGATTTTGGATAAGTTGTTGAAAAGAAATTTGGTATAATTTTAAGACTCGAGCAAAAAAAAAAAAAAAAAAAAAAAAAAAAAAAAAAAATAAAACGAGAAAAAAAAAAAAAAAAAAAAAAAAGTAACAAAACAATATCATCAATTAAGAGAAAGTCATTGTAATAATCCGCAGTTCATCGATTAAAATTAATATTTGAAGTAATCCTGTGACAAACAAATATATTCATAACAAAAATTCTTTTATATAATGATCTGGTTTTCAGTGTGTTGCGCCCATGTATCAATCATATTACAAAACAAACCCAACAACTCAAAAAAGAAAAGATTAAATAACTAAGGGTCTCAGTCAAGCGACACAAACGAGATGCATTTACATATGCATCTGCATTAATGTGATAACCTATATAACAACTAACTCCAAGGAAAATTTTCATTTGCGCCGAACTGTGATAGGACTTCTAACTACGTGCTTTCCATTTGTCCATAGCAATGCCCCAAAATTATAATTTCCTCGCTTAGTTACACTTGTAGCTTGTACAGTTACCTTGAATGTCTTCTTTTCACCAATTTTCTTGAAACTCAAGGAATTGGGTACAACAGCGATGTTATATCCTGGTAATTGGGCTTTTGCAAAATATGTGCTTGGTGGCCCAACATTAGTGACTGTGCGAGTAACAGTTATGGCATTTGATCCAAGATTTGGCAATGTGATTGATGGGTAGTTCAAGTCTGTTATGCTGTGAGATCCTGAACAAGTGAATGTCCTGTTGAAATTGAGTGCTGAAATGAGTTGTTGGTCGTATCCGGAAGCACATAGGAAGTTCAAGTAATCAACAATGCTTAGATCATAAACAAGTCCAGGATCTATTGCAGAGTTAGGTTGAACATGTCCTGATCCATATGCAAAAGGGTTTGCCAGTTTTTTATCAAATGCATCTCGTATTGGTCTGTTGGTGTTATCTCTTGTGCTTGCTGCAAGAACACATATTTTAAATAAATAAGAAAATGCATATATTATATAGGACAAAAAGTTTGTTTAGGTACCAGATTAGAAGTGTTTCCAAGAGTTTGTTTGTTTGTTTGTTTTTTTTTTTTACTGAAAAAAGCTATTTAATTCAGTAAAAAACAATTTCTCAAAAGTTTACTTTTAAACTTGTATCGATGCCTGTTCAAGGTGAGTAAATAGAAAAAGAATACCTGTGGTCATGATTGCTGACTTAATAGCTGCTGGACTCCAATTAGGATGAAGTGTTTTGAGAAGTCCAGCAATGCCAGCAACATGAGGACATGACATCGAAGTTCCTTGCAATACATTGAATGGAAACCCTCGGCGTGTGTCTGATGGTAGGTTAGATGCACTAGCGAATAGTGAATAGGAAGCAAGTATGTTCACACCAGGTGCAGTTACATCAGGCTAAAACAGAAATTAAAAAAAACAAGTTTCATCAGAGTCAAGATAATTAATACATAAGAAGTACAGTACTGTCATTTAATTATAAATTATCGTTTATGATAAGCTCACTTTTATAACAATTAAGAAAAAAAAAAAGTCATACTATCAGTAATATTTGACTAGTTGAGAATTGCAATCTTATCATTAAACTCTGCATATGTAGTTGATATATACCAAATATTAAGATACTAGTGTGCACCTTGAGTATTGAGGGCTGAATCTTATTGGGTCCCCTTGATGAGAATGAAGCCATAACTGGAGCTGGCTTTCGACCAAGCAATGTTCTTGCTGGAGACATCCTTAATGTAGCATTCGAGTTTATTGTAGGGTCCCTGAAATATAAACATATATATAATTAACGTATGCATGTGTGTGCATAAATGGAGGAGCCTTTCTTTTGTAGTATGATCGTTTGAAAATCTTAAGGATAATTACGTGGTGGCAGTAATGTCAAAACTAGCGGGTGTTGTTTTTTTGTGGCCTTGAGGATAGTTGACAGTGGACAAAACATGAGGCTCTGCAAGAAGTGTGTTCCCATTTTGCTCTTGATTGCCCAAAATCATTCCCATGGCACCCGCAGAAAGAGCTTCCTGACCCTCACTCACAGATTTTATTTTTCCATCTCGAAGACATGACACTATTTTGCCGTTTACTTTTCTAGGATCAAGTGTTCCAGGCTTACACAGTTGACTGCAATGAGAAAATAAATATATATGGTCATTCAATAAACAAGGTTTGTTTGATGAAATAGTTTTTGAGCTTTGTACTTACGCATCTCTGGTTGTGGCATTGGCGAGTTTGGCATCAGTTGAAAGGATTAGAGAAAATGACCTGTTTGGTGGGATGTTTACAAAAAGACTAGCTCCCTGTAGTAGAAAACACAATTATTCTAACAATAATAATCTGTGATCTTGATACATACATTTATGATCTGTCTTAACTTTATATAAACCTTATTTAATTTATATTACATTATGCCGTGGTCTTTACATATATATTATCTCCAGATATCCTGAATCAAAAGAGAATATATTGAAAGGTTGAGTACAAGAAATACTATGCTAAAAGAAGTTGCACAGAAAAGTTACTATTATAGCTAGTTTTATGTCTATTTAGTATTTTGATTAAGCATTTATATAATGATCATGACTTATTCTATATACAATTATAAATAGAAGACCAACTGTGATAAAGTAATATAATTTTCTACATTTCTCAATCCTCTCCTTCTTATTTTTATTAACACAAGATGAGGGAGTATAGGTGTATTAATTTGAGCTAATACTTGATAATACTATAAGAATGAAGAAGAAAATACCGTAATCTGCTGATTGTTTCCAAAAGTTAGAGTACTGCTGAAGTCCCTGTCTAGTGTGCTAGCTGCAATTGTGAACAACCACGGAGCCACATTGATAACAGTTCCAGGTGTTGGTCCATCGTTCCCTGCCGAAGCAACCACTAGTACATTTTTGGCAAGTGCATGGAACGCCCCAATGGAAACCTCATCGGTGAATATTTCTTCAGCACTGAGACTACTTCGGCCTCCAACAGAAACCGAAATCACGTCAACACCATCACTTATGGCTTGATCAATAGCAGCTAACACATCCGCGCCAAAACAACTTGCAGCATCGGTTAGAGACCAACACGCTTTGTAAGCTGCAACTCTAGCTCTTGGGGATCCACCCTTTGCAGTGCCATTGCCATTGCCAAAGACACTCGCACCTGGAACAAAATTGCCACCTGCTGTTGATAGAGTATGTGTTCCATGCCCTACAAAGTCACGTGCTGTTTGTTGTGACGAGGGAAGTTTGCCGTTGAATGCTTCGTAGGCTTTGTTGAAGAATCTTGCTCCAATTAGCTTCCTGGATTGTATATTGTTGAAGATTTTGCAGGCATAGAAGATTTAAAACCAGCAACAAGTGCATATCATTATGCATGCATATATTCTTATTTATGTTAAGCTTAAATACTTGTCATGATTACTGTGTTGGGAAAACTCGGACTTTCCCGCTTCGTGAAGTTAAAGTTCTTGAAAACTATTTATTACTCATTTAAATCCCCAAGGTCAAACCTCCAGGTATAAATAATTCAAATTTTATCTTCTATGGCCATAGAGCAATATTTATCTTTAAAACGAGTCAAAGACATTTTAACAAAATTATATTATA